GCAAGCACAAAAGGGAGAAACAACGATAGACAGCCTGAGCACATATGTGTTTTCATACTGTGAAACAAGGAAGTGAAAGAAACACATTCATTGTGTGTTAGTATTATATATGAAGGAAAATGTATTGAAACCCTGAACCCATTTAACACAGGCAGCAGAGCAGTAGATATGGTTCAGAATTTGTATCTCAAATATAATTAATGTGATTTTTCTGCATCATATTCATTTCTAAACATAATCAAATGGGTCAACTGTTTAGGACTCAGAAAATGATAAATCTCCATTGCCACTGTGTAATGACGAGTCTACATGTGCAGATAAATAAAGGGTTACAAACTATGCTCTCTGTGAGGTTTTATTGACTTTCTTTTTGCTACATCTGCACTGGGAGCAGGAAGCCGAGCAAAGTACAGTCAATAAAAAACAACTCTTTTACGAGGTAAGACTGGTGCAAGAGAGGCTGTAGCACAGAGGTGCAAACAGATTTTCATGTCTAAAAATCATTAATACCCAAGAGATGCATCAGACAGAGCATCAGGGAGTAAAGGGTTAAACTTATTACGGACTTCATTTAGTCAATGAACAGAGTGGAAAATGGAGGACAAAAACTAGAACAATTGCTCAGTCATGAATATTAGTAATGAATGTGTTCATATTGTGTGTGCATATTCTTCGGGTATACGTGGCCAGTTTAGGGAATAACAGTAAAATCTGCTCAGGGCCTTCTTCTCTGTGTATGACTTTCCAATCACGGCTACATTATAATCTACATGTACTGACTATAAACAGTAGATAGCACTATACAGTGCAACATGCATGAACTGTATGTGTCCATGTGCAAATGCTGGCATTTGAAAGTGCTATAAAATAAGTTTTAACTATCTGCATATAATTGCATGTATGGTTATACCTGCCTTATTTCCTGCTTATAAGTGCGTACTGATGTGAATTAATGAGTATGAGCAGGGCTGCTTGGTCTGTGATGAAGTATCTGTGTCCCGCAGCCTGGTCTGGCAAAGCTCACCTGGATCCTGAGTCCTGCTGTCAGCTCCCATCTCCCTCCCCGACACTGCCCCCAGCGCGCGGAACGGACACTCTCTAACCTTTGAAACATCCACAGTGGGCTGCCTGATTCCCCGCGACATGCCATGCTCACTCCCTCACAGCATTAGCATAGCTACGCAAACACCTTCCGTTTGGCTAGCATGCACACACAGGTAGGGGATATCTGGTGTTTCTCAGCACCATGGCGGATGCTGGGGTCCCATCACATCTCATTGTCTCTGATGGGTGATGTTTATGTTGGTGAGAGATAAAAGGAAACAATAAAACAACATTCAAGGACCAGGAGGTGTTTGTTCACATAGTACTTACAAATGTAAATCATTTTTGGTTTAAGTTTTAACTTCGAAAGACATTTCTATTGTTCTATGAATAATATTAAGTGATGCTAGCAGCATGGCTCTACAGACTGGCAATGTCAGGCTGTCGATCAGTCCACCACTTTATCCAGACTGAAATATCTCAACAAGAAAATGGAAATAGGGCTGTTTTTTTTTTTTTTTCAACCCACGGACAATCAGCGTCAATGAGTAAATGCATTAGTTGACAAGACTAATCGACCTGATTCAACTTGCATTTTGAGTCTAACTTCCCTTTTTTTTTTTGCTGCCTCACAGCAGACAGAGCAATGCAGGGGCAACAGTGTAGCAGGCTGTAAACATAACAAACAGAGTCTTGTCTAAAAATGGTTGAACCACAAAACTAACTGATGGAAACAGAGGACAGTATGAGGCAGGGCAGAGCGACTCGTTTCTGTTGGCCGCTCGGATACTTTCAGGTCTGGTGTCCGGCTGATGGCCCCAGCAGGAGAGTCACTCAAAGGTGCAGTAGAATTTGAGCTATGACCAAGATGCCAACTTTTACTCTCTTTGACTGTGTGGAAATTTTCACATCTCAGATGAGTAGAAACATGCGTTTTTAGAGTCATGTACAGGAGATTATGGTGTGGTACAGTTGAGCTGACGTGTAGCAGATTCTATTTGTAGATAAGATGCAATGAAGAAGAAGGTTATAAAAAAAAATAAAATAAATACAAGTAAACAGAAAGCATGAACCAATGAACTACAAGTACCTGACCAATTAATATTCAGAAGAATGACACTGCCCCCACCCCCAACAACAAGAAGCCCTACAACGTCTCAGAAAGTATTGTGTCATATCACATCGCACACTGTGTCAAACACAGCATTGTATCATTTATCATCCCATCCTAACCAACCTGTCATATTATATAAGACTATTCTATGTATCATCATATCTCCCATCCTGTCACTCAGTCATTTGCTGCAGTGCCTCAAACTTCAGGTGATGCTGCTTCAGAATACGAGGTGCAGGGGTGTTAACTGGGTTAAGGACCAGGAGGATTACCTGGGCCTTAGCTGCTGCCAGCCTCTCTCACAGACTCACTCAGTCAGGGTGGGCATTTGGCAGCTCGATAGACCAGCCAGTCTGAGCTCAGACAAGGGGAAAAAGGCAAAAGAAGTGAAAGAGAGGGGAGATGGGAGGAGTATTAGTTCCCTAACCTAGGACTTCACAGGACAACGGACTTAGAGAGCACCATTCACAGAGAACCAGTCAGAGACTGAGTAAAGCCAAAAAGATGACACAAGAAATTTCAAACTGTGCAGTCAACTTACTCTCCTCATTTTCCTTCTCCCGTTCGCTGACTCTGTCACACTTTCTCCCCCCACCCCACTCACACAGCTGCTACAAGCCACTCAGTCAGAGTCAAAGTGAACCATCTTAGCCGTGCAATCAAAGGCAGCTTTTGATAAGCACCTCTGACTGGCATACAGGGCCACCACAAGGTCACTGAGCTCTACTCCCACCAGGAGAGATCCACAGTCTGCACTGGCAACACATCAATTACTGCAGGCAACAAAGGATGAACTATAACAACACAATAACCTGCTCAGTCTGGGCACTGAGGGGGCAGCAGAGATGCTGTTCCGATAAGTGTTTCAACACTGAACTATAAGGAGAGAAAGAGGCGAGCAGAGGCGGGGGTGGAGGGTGCATGTTTACTTTCTGAGCCCAGAGCGGCGTCCAGAAAGCGCGCTTGGCAGCGATCCATGTGTCCCTTGGCGTTAGTACTGCAGTCACATTACATTTCCCCTCTCCACTGGATCGCTGTGTGCCCAGCCGATGCTCCCATCCAGGACATGTCGTGTCCACTTTAGACTTTAGGCTCTCTGGCTCGAGCTAATCCAGCGGCTAACAAACTGGAGCAGACTGCTGAGTATAAATTTATGTAAATAATTCAGGTCGTCTATGAATGAATGAGTTATGGTACATGAGTTTGCTGAGATGTTGATGAGCACATACGCACGCCATTTGCTGTACTGTAAACTGGGACCCGCTGACAGAGTGTGCTTGACAAAACAGAATGCTCTTCAACCACTGGACGGCTTCTGCTCCTCAATCACATGCTCACACAATCAAGAGCACACCCATCACATATACAAGGACTAAACGTTGCAATCCACATCGAGCAGATCTCAGCGTTCTTGCACATGAAAATAAATAATAATAAAAAATACTCGTTGCTTTTGACCTCCTGCTTGCTGATACTGACAGCCACACTGAGATCCACATGTGCCACATACTCCCTGTGCTGATCCTGCACCAATTAATTTCATGAATGACTAACTCGTGTTTGGTAACAAACTCCCAGTGGCTCTAGGCTTACCTCACAAGCCCCTACCCTTACACTCCCAGCGGAGTGCCACTGCTAGGAATAGTCACAGAATAATGGAGTCAAAAGCCTTGTGCTTATAATGCGCAAATGGGAAAAAATAATTACAGATCCATAGCTTAAGATTAAAGCGATCGAGCCAGTTTCTTCTCCAGAACCAGTGTATTTTATACTACTCAGGTTAAAAAAAATATAGATATAGATGCATTCACTCTAATGCATTTAGATGACATTGCCGTCTAGAGCACACTCGGTTCAGCATCTTTGAGTGGCAGAACGTCCAAGCTGTCGCACAAACTGTGCCATTACCCAGATGCATGCGCCAGAGACAAGCCCATAAGCTCACTCAAACTCTCTCTGAATCTGAATTCTGCCTTGCTGAGAAGGGAGGAAACATTTTGGACAACATGGCCCTAGAGAGAGCTGGGGCCATGTTGTCTAAAATGTTGATTAGTTTTGGCATGTGTAGAGATAGATTGCCTGCCATCTTTTCATTATTTCTGTGGAACCCCCCAGGAGAGAGGGCATGGAGATGGACTTGAGCAGGCAAGGCGTAATTAAACTTCTACAGGCAGGTCATGTGCTGTTAAATGCTTTGCCACCATTTCTCATTACTTTACAGTGTAGTCTAAATGATATGCTGTCACTGGGCAAATTAATTGGTATTTGGTGAGTGCAGTATGGCAGCATTGTCTCCTACATGTGTCATAAGCTCTGTAGGACCATGAGAGGGCTACACATTATCTGACCCTGATTAAGAACATAACGCGAGTTAAAGTGATTCAACTACTAAGCACTCATGAATGAATACTGTATGAATACAGAATGTAATTCCTCAACTTTCTGACACCTTTGACCTTTCAATGCATATTTCTTAACTTGCATACAACAAGTGCTGTTTCCTTAATTTGGGTTCGCCCTACATTTAAGAGACAGCTCATGATGTGAATTAAGGGAAAGGTCCTGCATAAACCATGAAGCAGAATTTTAAGTGAGGTGACAAGCACAGCACAACATACTACTTCAAGCTCACGACGAGCTAATATTAGAGCCAGAATAGCATTATCCAAATGCTGTTGCCTCACAAATCAAAATTCTAGGCCAACCTCTTAAGGGGCTAAAGGACAGCATTATTCATATTAAAACAGGGCAGATTTCAGCTCCACAGAACAGAGAGACGTGAGTGTGTGTGCGTTTGTGACCTTTGAGTTTGTGTTTCTGCAGCAGAACTAGCTTGTCTTACCTCCAAAGTAAGAGCCATCCGAAAGCTTGGTCTCTTTATTGCCTTTGGTTAGTACACTGACGACCCCATGTTGGATAAAGTACATTTTCTTGCCGATGGTGCCCTCCCTGATGATGTAATCCCCCGGCTGGAACACCTCGAACCTCAGCTTGGTGAGCATGGATGTGACAAAGTTGGGGTCGGCGTTGGCAAACAGAGGCATGGACGCCACCAGCTTCCGACAGTTGAAGTTGATGATTTCCTGTTTGAGTGTGCAGAGAAGAATTGAAAACAGCCGTTAAGTAAGAGCAGTCGAAGCTTTACAAAATGTATTGACCCCTCACAGTATCAGATAAGTGCTATATTAGAGTAACAATGGGCAAAATGTCAGGTGTGCAGACATTTGTTTTTGTTTTACTCTTGTTTGGATTTTGATTCAAAAGAATAAAATATCTTTTTCTCCTACTTTGTGCTTGTGTAAGGTTAAAATGTCAGTGAATGTGAACTGAACTGAGGGGAATGTCGAGCTGTACACAGACTTTTGAATGCATCACAGCCCCGTGTGCACAAGACCACTCATCCCACCTCTCTGAGAGGCTCGTTCAGCTCTCCCAGGATGCTCTCCTCATCGAACATCTTGCCCTGGTAACGGTGCTCGTAGTAGTCATGGATCCTCTGCCTCATATCTGCCGGCAGCTTGTGGAAGGACATGTACTGCTCCACCTGTTTGTACTGCAGGGACACAGAGACACACAACAATCAGGTTACTCAAAGGCCACAGTCTGTAGCACGGATACACAGCCACAGGGAACAGCTGGCACTGAGGTCAGACACACGAGGAAATGGAGACGGATACATACAAGCCATCGCAGGTTAGGCCCGACAAGACACCACTTTTCCTGTCTTTGATCATGCCTCTTACACTATCGCTGTCTCTCTTAAAAGGCAGAAAGCAGGTGGCAAGTGTTTAGTCATGCTGTCAATTCACGGGGAGCTTGTAAATGATCCACCATTGTGGCAAATCTGGATTGGCACAGAAACATTCTCAAAGTAAATGTGTCAGTGTCTGTGTCAGAGCTCAGGTGGGTAGGAGCTGATCTTACTTTATCTACATGTAGTGAGTTGTAATTTGTAATGGGCAATCTGATTACAGGTATGACAAGCATTTCTACACCAGGGAAATAGAAAAGCTGACACCATATTGATATTCATTAATGGCAATTGCATAATTTGCATCCACCTACTGCATATCTAATACTGTCATACATCAATCAAATGAGTGATTGCATGATACTGTAGTGTCGTGTATGTGGAGGCTACAGTACAATGAAGACAAGTGAGACAAGAGTTGGAGGAAAGGTGTGACATGATTACAAATTCAAACCAAAAGTTAGGACAAGGTGCTGGAGACAATGATGGTGTGTGTGTGTGTGTCTGTGTGTGAATGCGTGTCTTTTTGTATGTGTGTGTAATTATACATTTCTGTGTGTGAACATCATAAATTAAACCAAATAATAATTAATACTGACTTATAGGTCCCATATTGTATAAAGTGATTATTATTTTTTGATTATTAGCAGCTCTAGGTGCTATATTAATACAGAAAAAGTAATAATCGTACAGTCCACAGAGAAATGCACACAGTCTGTATTCAGAAACTGAGCATTAATCAGGCCGTCAGGAGTTCTGTAACTTTGTGATGTCACAAAAAAGTAGTCACCTCCCTCAGCCATGCCCAAAGCTTGGCCCACCCGGACCCACCATCCAGCCTTGCGGGATTTGGTTTCTCTGAGTGTTTACCTAAAATCTGCTATATTTTTACTCGATCACTCAGAAAACAGTCAACCAATCTGATTGGCTCACCGACCTGTTGTTTCTCCAGGAAGAAGCCTGAGAGAGGAGATGTAAAACTAAATTCAGATGTCAGTTTTTGGTTCTTATGGATATAAAAAAAAACAAAACACTGGAAAAATGTAAAATATGGGACCTTTGAAAATCATATTTTTGTTTACCTAAGAATAACAGCGTAGGAAATGACCTCAATACACAATATGCACTGTCATGGTTACATACATACATGCATTACATATACATGCAAAATTTGATTAGAAATTACACTTAAGATGATATCAAAAATATTTGCATAATTTAACTGAAACTCTAAATCTATACAATAGTCCTATTGATAATGCCTATTTATATACCTGAGTGCTGTGTTGCAATTAGTGACAAACAAAGCCCTGTGGCTCCTGTAACACCATGTTCACCAAAACACTTATCAAAGTCAAGACTGTGTGTGTTTGTGTCCTCTGGTCTTTATGTTGTTAAAAATTAAAAATAAATGTATTAAAATGTGTGTCAGATGGCCTTTCACTGATTCTGCAGTATCGGAAGCCGAAATGCAGATCAAAGCACACAGAGAGCACCTCGGGAATAATAACAGGTAGAATCCTTGACCCTCAGAGAAAGAAGAAAAGAAGAAAATTAACCATTCATAGGGCAATGCCGGCGGTGCTCTTTGATCACCATTTCTACACCGCCAACAGCCTTACCACTCAGAGACACCGTTGACCTCAGATGTCTCCCTCTTTGTTATCTGACTTTACTACCCTAGTCACCGCTAATCTTGGAGATGATCATCAAAAGGCCAGTCTTGTGGAAATGTAGCACAGTAAATAAGGACAGCTGCCTCGTGCAAGTCAGACTGTTTTTTTGTGCGAGCAGGAAAGCTGTCAAGCTTGCTGAGAATCAGGGGATGTGACTGGAGCTGGAAAGAAATGCATACCAGGGTTGGAATCCTCTACTCTAAAACATTCATGCAGACTAAACTATAACCACCTTAGGATGAGGTCTGGTCAAGGTTCTGCAGGTAACATCTTCTACCCCTGCACTGACCCACTGACACACACAAACACACTCCCTCCTGTGTTTGTAATCTTCCTTTATGCAGCCCCGGCTTTCACCCTCTACAATGATCGGTCCTGCAACGCTCTCTTTTTTTTTTTTTCTCTCTTGCCTCCTCTTTGCTAAATTTGGATGGGTTTTGGTTAGATTGTGTTTGACCAAAGCCCTTCGAGGCCCTCACAGACAGAGAAAACAGTCTGGAGTCAGTCTGTGCATATTGATGATACAGCTCCCCCCATTGTGACCAGTTAGCTAACAACTGTAAATGCCCCTGCTGGTAATCATCATTTTTATTGCATTGTTAGCTACACAAAGACAAATCACAAACACTGGAATGTATATATGCTACTGTAGGTGCAAGGGTATACAGTTTTGTGTGCATATAAAAACACACAAAATGCAACGTATAAGGCCAGGCTAGGTTTGATGGAAAATTATAATGTATGTCAAACACTAAGAAATTACTCATATGATATACTTAAAATATGAGTTCCTGTCTTAGCAATGTCAAGTGAAGTATTTGACATTATATGTGTCAACGGTGTGTAAAGTGACCTGGAAAATTTAATACTTGCACAGGCAAGAAGAAGACGTGGAAAGAGGCTTTTAGATATCCAGTGGGGTAAGGGTTTCAGTCTTTATCCCTACAATCCTTTTGGCATCAAATTGAGCATTTACTGATCTGATGATGAAATAGAATCCTTCCACATAGAAGAAGAGGGAGAGACGGACAGCTTTAGAAAACGATCGTAGACATCTCCTGCTGCAGTCCCATTGGCTGCTGGGTATTGCAGTGAAGATGGCTTGTTTTTGTGTGATGCCAGGGTGAAGATGACAGGTGTAACCCACATTCTGTATCTTGTCTAATGTCCTTATGTCTCCTGCATTAGACATGGCACAGCATGGCGCTCTGTTTCAAAGGCGTGGATTATCATCTCCTTCAGAATGTCTTCCAACCTTTCTTTTTTTTTCTTTTCTTTTTTACATTCATGAAAAAAAGAAAAATAATACTGTCAACATCTAATACGTCCATTTATCCTCAGCTTTGCAGCATGTTACAAGTGGATTCTCTCAGCATGAAAGGGCATTAGTCAAATGAACAAATGCAAGATAATGTCCTGTTGCTCTTACATTGTGATAAGTAACTAAATAACTGAACTACATACAGTAGCTCAGTGTCTCACTCAAAGGCATTTCGTATTTACTAATCACTGCTGAGTCTCAGAGGAGGAGCTGACAGGGATGTAAAGACGACGACCATGTGGGGGACGGTGCTCTCCTGACACTGTGATGGGCTGATAACACCCTCTGTCATAGGAAATTATCTTATTGCTGCATAGCCGCCATCACACTAGGACCAGAGGATCCCCTGTTCTCCTGCTCTACTTGGCTAAATCAAATCATAGTCAGCATTCAGGAGGTAATCATTCCACCATCAGCCTCCCTCGCTGCTCTCTGAAAACTGGGGGTGGGGTGGGGTGTGCGGGGGGTAAGGCTGCAAGGGGGGGCTGTTCAAAATTTAACAGAAGCAATAGGATTCTTTCCTCTTTCTTTCTTTAGTTCAACATTTTGGGGAATATATTTGTTAGATGAAACTATCAGCTTCATTTTTATATCCGTAATGCTGAGCGGCTGGTTAGCTTAGTTTAGCACAGGAGGAAACAGGTGTCCAGCCTGGTCCGAATGCAGCAAATCATACCTACCAGCACCTCTAAAGCTCAGGGAACAGAGACTCCACATGCCTGGCAATCAGTGGAGTCTGGTAACGTCATGGCGCAGACAAGACTCCAGGAAATTCCTGTGCCTTGCCAAGAAAATAGTCACATGATCCCTGCAAAAATGCAACATGTTGTTTTTACACAAACAAAATATAATGTGGTAATAAGTGAGCTTCAGAGTTGTTGGTATGCAGCTTTTCTTACCTTTGGACAGAGCCGGACAAGCTGAGTCTTTGTGCTAAACTAATCTAATCAGCTGTGTTGCTAAATTAGAGTGATGAAAAATAACCACATTTTTAATTTTCATATAGGAAGGGCTTTTTGTATATATTTTGGTTCATGTGTGTGTATGTGTGTGTGTAAATATATATATAATGGGGTCCCCAAACTAATTTTCCTGCCCAGTCAAATTAGTGGTATTGACATTCTAATCTAACCCTGGCAAGAAAGTGAACAATTGTATTTTCCAAAATGAAAGAGTTTGACAAACTCTTGGTTTTGACACTGCAGTGTTTGGCTGTTGATGCTGAATTGATGTGATGTTTAAAATATTGGATTTTTGTGATATTTCAATTTTCTAGTAGAATAAAAGGCAGTAACACAAAGAAAGCTGCGATCTCTAAACATTTTTTTGGTGTTTAAATAACACAACTGTTTACATTGTCTTCTCCATCTCTGTGCCATCAGGTTGTTTATCTGAATAGGTTAGTACAAAATGTCCTCACTAGCATAGCATGTAGCGACTGGTGGCCTGTCAAGGGTGGACCCTGCCTCTCTATACTCTACTGTAAGTACCTTACCTTAACTTATTATCTTCTAAGTACAGTACAATAGAATTTTTTTTTGTATGTAGGTGAGCCTATTAGCTTCCAGGCTTGGCAATATTACAGGAGTAGCATACACTGCCCACTGAGCTATACATGACTGCATCTTCAAGCTATTTTATTTCATAAATCCTCTCCCTTTCTTCTCAGTTTTGATCTTCCTTCACATGTCCATTCTTTGGTCTGTTTCCCATTTGTACTTCTTTTTTCCTCTCTGCCCCTCTACTCTTTTATTGTGGCCCCCCATCCCCCTCTCTCTCATGCAGCTCTCCAAGCAGATGCAAAT